GCACGGAGGTCGAGGGGAGCTGCCCAAGCTGCAGGATGGGAGCAAGGTAGGTTGTCTCGGCTGTTACCCCAAAGCCCTCAGAGAGGGGTGTGGGTGCGACACCCCCATCCCTGCTCTTGGGGGTTAGATCCCCTGCTCACAAGCCGAGATCTGTTTGGAGATTCCATCTCTGGGGATCCCTCACAAGGACGGGGTGCAGGAAGGGCTGTTTTGGGCACAGGCAGCCACGTTGCCCTCACAGCAACGGCTGACATCGCCCACTGCCTTCACCTCGCGTTGGTGCTGTTACCCACCGCCCCCCTCGGTCCTGGCTGTCAGAGCTCAGCAGCTGCGGTGGGTTGCTGGGAATCTGCCTTTCCTGACGTGTCAAACAGGAGCGAGGAGTGCCAGCAGGGACCTCCTGGGGATTTCTGAGATTCCCCAGCCCGTGGGTGGGAGCAGATCAGTGCGAGTGCCCCCCGGGTTGAGGTGCGTGCTGGGGGAGCACCCTCTACGGGGTTATAAAGGGGAGAGCAGCAAGACACAGCACTGCTGGGTGTTAAGATGCTCCACCATTCGCTGTCTAAGGCAAGGGGGGTAGGAGGCACAATCTCCTGCTGCGGATGGAGAGCTGCCAATCAAACAGGAATCTCACCAGGAGTAGGCTGTGCCCCAGGGATTCGGGGCTGGGGAGGGAGAGCTCTCATGGCAGTGCCTGCCCCAGCTCAGCACTGAGTTTTCTCCGGGGCAGATCACCTTCCACTTCCAAACACTGAAGGATAACTTCGAGAGGACAGTGATCGACGACAGCCGAGAAGCCGGCATCCCCATGGAGATCATCGTGGGCAAGATGTTCAAGCTGGAGATCTGGGAGACGCTGCTCAGTTCCATGAGAGCCGGGGAGGTGGCCGAGTTCTGGTGTGACGCCATCGTGAGTGAGGGGCCCATGGGCGCCTGCTCCCCTCCTTTCTGCAGAGCCAGGGCACAGGACCCTGCACCCCAGAGATGCTCCAGCCTTGCCTGGTGCTGGCACAGGGTGCACAAGTGTCACTTAGCCGCAGCAGCAGGGGGGCTGCCCCAGAGGAAGGGGGCGCAGGCTTTCCCCGTGCAGCTGAGCGGGGTGCTCCCCCTCCTTGCAGCACACGGGCATGTACGCCCTGGTCTCCAGGGGCATGCGGAGGATCGCGGAGGGCCGGGACCCCCTGGAAGGGCAGAAGCACCGCTGCGGCATGGGCAACATGTTTGACTACCACAGCACGGGCTACGATGACCTGGACGAGTTGCAGCGGACGCCGCAGCCCCTCATCTTCATCATGGAGTTGTTCAGGGTAAGGGGGACGGTGGGGATGGCTGCCAGCGTGGGGACAAGCAGGGCAGGCAGCTCGGCTTACCTGTCCGTGCAGGTGGAAGAGCCCTCGGCATACAAGCGGGACACCTGGGCCATGAGCAAGGAGGAGAAGCTGGCGTTTTTTTTCAACCGCCTCGTCCTCCGCAAGGAGTTTGGGCAGGCGGCGGCGAAGTACCAGGAGGCCGTCATCTGCCTGAGGAACCTCCAGGCCAAGGTGAGCAGAATCTGGCCATCCCCTTGTCATCCCTGCCAGGGTTTCCTCAGCCAAGCGCTCCCCTGTGGGCCCTGGGTGCCCGGGAGGGGACAGCCACAGCCGTGAACCACCCGCCGTGGCTTCCTGGGGCAGGAGAAGCCGTGGGAAGACGGCTGGCTGAAGCTGGAGAGCCTGGTCACACCGCTGGTGCTCAACTACTGCCAGTGCCAGCTGGAGCTGGGCGAGTACTACGAGGTGCTGGAGCACACGACGGAGCTCCTCCAGAAACACAATGGTACCCATGCCCTGCATCCCACCCCCCTCCATCCATGACAATGCCTCTGCCTGTGATGGTACCTGTGTCCACAGCAGAACTTGTGTCCCAGGTCCTCCTGCCCATGTCCCTGGTTTCCCCTGTCACGACATTGTCCCGCATCATCCAGATCTCCCTGCTCGCCATGGTTCCCCCTTTTCTGTGATGACCCCTGCACCCCATGTCCCCTGGTGCCCACGTGCATGGCCTGGTTGCCCCTGCCCACGATGGTACCCCAACCTACAAGCATGTCCCCCCCAAGTTCCCCTACCTATGGTGGTACCTGTTCTCCATGTCCCCTGGAGTCCCAGGGTCCCCAGCTCCTGTGGCTCCCTGAGCCGCAGGACTCCGTCCGGGGGCTCTCCTCTCCCGGCAGACAATGCCAAGGCCTATTTCAAGCGGGCGAAGGCCCATGCTGCTGTCTGGAATGAGCGGGAGGCGCGGGAGGACTTCCTGAGGGTGGCTCACCTCGACCCCTCCATGGCGGCCGCTGTGAAGAAGGAGCTGAAGCAGCTGGGGGAGAGGATGAGGAAGAAGCACGTGGAGGATCGGAAGCGCTACCAGGGGCTCTTCCAACCATCTCAGGGGCCACGGGCCAGCAAGGGGCAGGGGAGCAGGGAGGTGGGCGATGGGGAGGTGGGTAACAAGGTGATGCTGCGGGAAGAGGCACCCCAGGGTGAGGTTGAGGTCCCAGAGACCCCTGAGCAGGGGGAGCAGGGTGCAGGGACCGAAGAAGCAGAACAACAAGGGGCTGGTGAAGCAGAACAAGGGACCCCCAGGGCCGGGTGTGAAGGGGCAACGCCAGAAGAAGCAGCCCAGGGGCAGCTTGCAGGGACAGAGGTGGAAGCGAGGGATGGGATGGGACTGGGGGGAGAAGCAAATGTGGGCACCTGTGGGGCAGGGCCCGAGATCTGGGGAGCAGAGAGGGGAACAGACGAGGAAGATGAGAAAGAGGAGGGTGAAGATGAGGGTGAAGACGAAGGTGAAGAGCAGAGGGAGGAGGAGGGTGAAGAAGAAGAAGAGGAGGTGGAGGAGGGCAAAGAGAAGGTGGAGGAGAGCGAAGAGAAGGAGGAGAAGAGTGAAGAGCAGAGGGAGGAGGATGATGATAAGAATGAAGAGCAGAGGGAGGAGGAGGATGATAAGAATGCAGAAGAGGAGAAAGTGGAGGAGGAGGAGGAGGAGAGCCCCGGAGCAGAGATGGAAAAGCTGGCTGCAGGGCAGTGTGGGGCAGCGGCAGCAGGGCTTGGTCAGGGGCAGGAGCAGGGAGCTGGAGGGGCAGTGGGAACTGGCACAGGGAGTGTGGTAGGGCCTGAGACAGGCAGAGCCCCAGAGCTGGGCCCCTCCAGTGGGGAGCTGGGGCCAGCCAAGGCCCCCCCGGGGCTGGAGGACAAAACACCCGGAGAGGCACTGGAAGCGGGGAGCTGTGAGGAGCAGCGAGCGAGTAGCCAAGGATATGCTTGGGAAGGCAACATCCCCCCAGATGGCTTCAGCCCAGGGACAATGCCCCAGGCTGAGCTCTCAGGGGCTGACGAGGAGCTGGGCGAGGGAGCAGAAGTACCCCCCTGCCCCCCAGCAGCCAGGGAAGGGGGTGATGCACCCCCAGACCAGTGCAGTGGGAACACAGAACTCAGGGCCATGACCCTAGGGCACAGCCAGCCCTGAGCAGGGCCAGTTATCCCTGGATGGGGGAAAGGCAGCTGGAGCACTGAGGAGGGGGCAGAACACAGGCAGTGGGGCTGCTGTACCCTGCTGGGACCCCCAGGGCTGGGGTCTGTCCCTGCAGTGACACGGGAACTATGCTGTCCTCCCCATCAGCCCCGCTGTGCAGCAGCGCCTGCTGCCTCCCTGCCCCGATTCATCGGCTCCAGCGCCTCCAGACCCCGCTGAGCTTTGCTGGCTGAGAAATAAAAGCTCTTCCCTGGCACCATGTGCTGGATTTGTTCTTGGACGTGACCGGCTTCCCTGATCACAGCCCGTACCTCCTGCCTTGCCCTGGAGCCTGTGGCACCGGGATGGGCACGGGGCATTTTGCTCTAAAAGGGGGACTTAAAAAGGCTGTATTTCACCCCCATTTAAGCTCCCAAATCGCTCCTGTGTGACAGCTGTCCCCATACTTCCCTGCAGTAGCACGGTGTCATGTCTCTGCCCAGCACCGCCAGCCCTTCCAGGCAGGAGCGAGAGCAGGTCCAGCTCTGCGAGTATCAAGCTTGCGCAGGGTTCTCTTCAGCTGGTGATGGACTGCACCCTGTGCAGCCGGGAGGGCCGGAGTGCCACCAGCCTTGCCCTGAGCTCGGCTGAGCCCCTCACTGTGCCACAGAGACATGGGGAACACGGGGAAGAGGGACTGTCCCCACACAGCCCCTGTCTCAGCCCTCAGGCTGACGCGCAGCCCTGAGCAGACATTGCTGGAAGAGGGCGAAGGAAGGTGGTGGTCAAGGATACACCCTGTGTCTGGGGAGCACGGGGATCTGCTCACAGCTTCTCTGCCTGAAATGGTGTGGCCAGCTGGGGTGACATAGGACACAGGGATATCCGTGTCCCAGCAGCCCTGCGGGAGCAGTGCCAGGATGGCACAGCACCCCGAGCGGCCCTGACTCAGCCAAGGTGCAGATAGAAGAGGCCAGAGCACCGATCCGTGTCTCAGTGTAAATACAAATTTATTCTCTTTCCAGAGCAGAGATGGCGCAAAGCGGTGAGGACAGCAGCACCACTGTACATGGTTACCAGAGCATTAGCCAGCCTGTCCCCCTCCCTGACGCATCCCGGCCCCCACTCCCCTTGTGCCAAGGGCCCCAGCACCCAGCCTGGCCACTGCTGCTCCCCATACCCGGACCAGCAGTTCTGCCCTCACCCTGCCTTTTCCTTCCTCCAGCTCCCCCAGGCTGGGTACTCCTGACCTCAGCCTCGAACCAAAACCTTGCTCTTCCCCATGCTGCCCCCATCCTGGGATTACAGGGGGGTCCAGGCAGGCTGTAGTCCCTCGCTGTGGGCGAACAAGCAG